CAATGAGGCTTATGCCTCACACTTACTAGATGAGACTTATGCCTCAGTTAGGGTGAGGCGCACCTCAATGCATGTTTCAATCTAATTTTAACGCAATTTTATAGAGGCTTAAGCCTTGAGAATTAGGATTTATGTAATTTTAAATTTTAATTTATAAATTTGATATATAACTTAAAAATATTTATTATACTTAAATTAAATCAATTTTGAGAAAAACCTCACTACCTCAAACTCATTACTGCACGCCGTGGGACACTCACATATGCACCCAATCTTACTGCATCACCTTCATTGCTGTGCCATTGACGCTTCTTATCTAGTACCTCTCCTCTTGTTATTGGAAGCCCGTTTATTTATTTTTAGTATAAGGAAGGATGAAAAACAATAATTACAATAATAATTCTAGTGAAAAATCTTATAAGTGATGAGAGTGGGGGAGTTTTTAAATTCATGGATTATGTTGAACTACTTATTTATGTTGAACTAGGAGTGGGAGAATCTATTTATTTATCATTGTTTGTAGCCTTGCATGACTTTTAATCATTTCATTTTAATTTTTTATGTTCTTACTTTAATATCAATATGTTCCTTATTATTTCATATTTTATCATTAATTTAATGATTTAAATCAAAGATTTACGCCTCAAAATGACTTGGGGCTTATGCTTTGGCTTGCGAGAAGAAAACACTTCAATACCCAATTTTGTAATTTCAAACATTGAGCAGATCACAAATAACATTCATTTGGCATATAATGCATAAGATGACATTTTAAAATTTTTGATGGATCACTCGTATAAAAGTAAAAAAAATAGCCATTCATCCGGTACTTGTAAGAAAAATATTTATATCATGATGCAGTGAAATAGCCCAACATAACAAACAACAATTAAGAACACCAAATGAGCTCAAACAACCCAATAAGCTTTTTTGCATGCGTCAAAGGGATTCTCTATCAAAACGTTAACCTAATTACATCCTCCCTATGCTATAAGAATAAGGGGTGACCTATCAGATTACATAAGTGAGTGTAATAGCCTTGATGTAGGAAGGGTCAGACATATTACTGTGATGGGCTATCAAATTAGCTCATCTCAAGGGATCCAGTAAAATTAAGACCTATCAACTTAATTTGGTTGAATTTAGAAGATTAATTTTAAAAATTAAGCTTTAATTAATATTGAAAATATTTAAATCATTTTTTTTTTCAAAATAGTAATGTCATGTTTAAATATGTTATTAATTTTGAAAATTTGATTAAGGTGACATGCCTTATGTTTATTTTTCTACATTTGCATATGATGCATGATATGACATTTTAATATTTTTTATACTTGCATAAAAAAAAATTGTATGCTTGGTACTTTCAAGGAAAATAATACTATCATAATGTTGAAAAATAGCCAAACACGTCCAGTGCTAATCATGAACAGACAATTAAGCACAAACAACCAAATAAGCTGAATGCCATGCATAAAAGGATTCTCTATCAAAACTTTGACCTAGCTACATCCTCTCTAGAGAAGCTAGACGACTAAGGGGGTGACTTTTCACAGCACAAAAATTTGTGCGATAGTCTTAATGCAGTAAGGGTCACATTTAAGACTATGATAGGCTACCAAATTAGCTCATCTCAAGGGATCCAACAAAAATAGAACTATCTACCTCATTTGGTTGAATTTAAAAGATAAATTTAAAAAATTAAGTTTTTATTTCATTTCGAAAAGATTGGAATTCATTTATTTTTTTTTAAATAGTAATGTCATATGTAGTTTAAATATGTGATTAATTTTGAAAAATTGATTAAGGTGGCATGCCTTAGGTTAATTGTATTCTTTTAATAGTCTTTTGATATCTGGTTATGGTAAAAAGATTCTCATTATTGGATGATTTGTTACCTAATAATGGTGGTCAAGTTACATTATCACGGGCTAAGTTTGAAATTAAATATATTAGAATCGCCTAATAATGTGGCGACTCACATTATACATATGATAATTTGCCCTTATTATGAGGGTAAATAGTTGAAATCATCAACTATCAAGCTCAATACTCAAGTGTATATGAGTGGTATAAAGACTTGAAAGATAGAATTATTCATATTCCAGCCATTTAAGATGAATTCTAAATTTTCTAGAGTATAGGGCCAGACAAAGTAGGGTCAATCTACTTAGGATTGAAGGAATGGTATGGATACAGATGTACATTCAAAATCAAAAGTGTTTAGCCACATAATAGTATTGAACAACAAAATTACTTTCTTAAGGTTATATGGTTAAGCCAGGATAGAACTTAAACTAAATGTGATACGAGTAAGTTCAAAAATGATTCCTATAAGAAAGACCTCTAAAGTAGAGATAGTAAGAGCAAAAGAGCATGATCTTACAAAGAATTTACTTAGTCAAAATAGTATGACAATATCAAATAATAGCTTAGCCCAAAATGCATGACTAGATTAGGAATGTGTTAGTCTTAAAGGAAAGACTAAACCATAAATAATTTAATCCTAAGGCAGGATTAAACTAAATAAAGCTCAATCAAAAGGTAATGACTAAGCAAAGAAATATATACTAGTGTTATCTTTCCAAAAGAGCCAAGATCGTCTGTTTTTTGTGAGAAACGAACGAGCTTTCCTTGAAACAACAACAAAATATCATATTACAAGATGGTTATGTCCCGTGATTATCGCAAGCACTATAATTTATCTTATTTAAATTAGTTTAAAATAAAAAACACGAAAGGTTAGGTGTTGTTTGGTTAGCTGAAAAATGAATGCAATGTAAAAGTAATGCAATGTATTTGAAATACTTTAGAGTTGTTTGGATGATAGTAAAATAAAGGCAGTGAATTACTTTTTTTTTATTTGACTTGAAGTAAAATGAATGCAGTATAAAATCGAAAGATAGGGTGGTCGATGGTAGTGACCGACGTCCTGTGTAAGCGATGGGCGGTGGTGATCGTCGGAGGTTGTAGTGGCAACGGGAAGAGATGGCTGCCGGTAGTGGTGGCTGTCACTGGCGACGATGGTGGTGGTAGTCGGTGCAGACAATGAAGTTCTAGTGTATTTGAAATCATTCAAATCGGAGGAATTCCAAATATATAAAAAAATGAACTAGAGGGTGAATTCCAAATGCACCAAAACTTTACACTGCGTTTGGTTTACTTCAAACCAAACACTAATATTTTCCAAACCCCATCATTTGAAATACTTTACACCCCTTTTATTTCAAACCAAACAGCCCCTTAGAGAATTTTATTAATTTTTCAATGAGTCTAAGATTGTAAAATTACATCAAACATGTGAGTTCTTGAAATTGCCAAAGATATTGGATTTAAAAATTGAATTTTGTTCTGTGATTATCACAAGAATTGCAATTTACCTTGTCAAAATTAGAGCTTAAAATGGAGCTCATTGGAATTGTAAAGACAACATGTTTTCTTACCTTAACAATCTTACGGACCAAGGACTCATACTTAGAAAGCATATTAGAGAGCCTTGTTATGAATATATCTAATAATCAGACCTTTTCGTAATCGTATAGAGTCTACTTGAACTCAGTTTACAAGCCAAATAGGCAGCCTTGTTACCTACTTGTTCCTCAGGCTTATATTCAAACTTGAAACAGTAAGTCCACCTTTTGGAACTTAAGCAATAACAGCCTAACAAATCAAGAAAATCATCAAAGGGGACCTTCTGGATAAGCTAGTCTCAATCATACAATACTATAAATTAGTGCAAGTTTCATTGGAAAGGTTACGGTCATTTCTATGGATGATGACACACCACTGCCGTTGTGCTTTGAAATGTAAGGATTTATGAGATAGTAGTTGAATCACTACGCTGATTCCTACTATAGATTTGTCTTGATTCATGAAATGTTTGTGCTGAATTGAACAAGTTTTTACTTTAGCGTGATGGTCAATGGTTTCTTGCTATTTGATGAAGGATGGTAGTAATTATGGAACATCTTACTCCGGCTGATTGAAAAGGAAAAGCGTTTTAATTCCTTCCTTTTTAACATTTTATTTGGCATATTAAATGGTTGTGCATAAATTTTGGAGATGGTTTCTCCTTTAAGATCATATTTGTGAGTTGATTTGAGATTGTGTGAGCTGTTTGTATGGTCACTTGCTTTGAAGACTGCCAAATACTAGATATTTAATATTAGAATAATGTTACATATGTGGATGTACTTCTTGCTCTGCTGTGCTAGCAGGAGTGAGAAAATGTCATAAAATTTGTTCATCTTTCTGTGGGGTGTGAAAAACCATCTGGATAATCACGGGAAGAGTACGATAGACAAAGTTGTTCAAATCTCAAGTATATTTTGAATGTTAGCCTTCTTCCATGATTATCATTGTGTTTAGTGCTACAAGAGTAATATAACTCAAAGACTACTTGAACATTTTTGTTAATATATTTCAGAAAAATACTTCATTTCAAAAAAGGTCCTGAATCCTATATTTCAGTTAAGCAAATACAATTTTAGCAGACCATATGATCAAAAAAATTGTACTAAAAGGTAGAAATGTAGTGTAATGGAAGTTGAAATATGTTAAACAACAACAACATCAAGCCTTTATCCCACTACGTGGGGTCGGCTACATGAATCCTTTTTCTCCATTGTGTCCTATTAAAAGTCAAATTCTCATTTAAATCTAATAAAGAAAGGTCATTCCTAATATTTTCTAACCAAGTCTTTTTAGGTCTACCCCTACCTTTCTTAACATAAGTAAAATCTAATACCTCTACTCTCCTAACCGGGTCATCGCAAGGCCGCCGTTTTATGTGACCAAACCATCTAAGGCGACAAAAGTTGAAATACGTTCTTAAAAGTAATTTTTAGCTGATACGTAGTTCTTTTCTCTTATAATTTTTGAAATTAATGTTTGTTTGGCTCAAGTTTCACATTAATAGTCAAACTTTATTTTGGTTTTCATTTTGTTTTTAGATGCCATTTAGGTCTAAAGGCTTTTTTTTTTTTGCCTCAAACATGCAGAAATTCTCTCCAGATGGAAAGTTCATTGCCACTGCGGACCGAGACTTCAAAATCCGGGTAATTGGATTAGTTTTTCTTTGAATCTATACATTATGGCCGATAGCTTTTTCATTTTCTTGAGCTATTTGTTGCTTTGCCTGGACTATCTCTATGCAGATAACTATTTTTCCAAAAGGACCTCTAAAAGGTGCTCATGAAATACAAAATTTCTGCCTTGGTCATACAGAGTGAGTTGAAATAATACATCTGTCAATTTTATTCTTTGGGGCTTTATTTGTATCAAAATTTTATTTTCCATTGAATGAATTGTTATATAAAGTTGGATTATTTAAGCGGCTGCAATCATCGAAGTAAGACGCATATGCTCAACAGAATTCTCCTAACATTAGCTAATCTAGAGAGACTTCATATATTTTAATGCAGGCCAAATCAGTGAAATTTTAATGCAATTAGTTTTTCATTGAAGTGTTGGGTGAAGATTGTGAATATAAACCGCTAATCATAATTTTATCGAGTTTTCAGGAACTTTTTAGTATTAATTTGCTGATAATACGCTATAACTTGTTTGATACCGAGATATTTCTTACAAAACAGTATCATTTAATTAGTGATTACTTTTTGGTAGTTATATGCAGACCTATTAAATACCTTCTCTATAGAAGGAAACCCTTTGATCCTTTGTAGCGTGAATAATGGCATAATATGCGACCTATATGATGTTTGTAGGCATTTACATAATTTTTGAAATTCATGGATGCATAGGTATGGTAGAAAGTAGTCATTTTGCATGAGGACTGTTGAGGTTATTTATCAATGATTTAAGTTGCAGTATTTTTTTTTGGTGATATATTGTGTATATTGAAAATTCGGAGGTTTTTCTTTTTGCAATTATTCTCGTAGTTATTTTTTTGGCCCCTAAATTGTGTATATTTCTACCATAGGTTCTGAATTTCAATGCAAATGATGAAATGAAAATTCAACTAATTCTCTCTTATTCTTGTTATGCTATCAGAGATTTAGGCTTATTTTTCTTAGAATTTTTCATAAGCTGCAGTTTTCATCATTGCATTTTCTAGATTTCACAAGCATTCATCATTGCAATTATTATTTTTTCGTTCCTCTTTATATTTTCATATATATAGCTGTCATCATTGCAGTCTTATTTATATTCTTATTGCAACCAATTACTCCCTTAATTTTATCATGTTTCCTTAGTCTTAGGTTCATTTTAAATTGAGTCCAACAATCCAAATCCAGTAGGAGAATCACAAAACATCCATTCAAAATATCATTTAAATGAAATAAATTACCTTAAGTGGTTTCAACTTGCACTGAATCTCAGAAGATGATCTCATGTTAAATGCTTGCAATGAACAATTTTTTTTGGGACATTTAGGCCAATTAAGGCAAACTCACACACATATCACATATGCTAGATTTGAACCCAAAACCTCCTAGTTGAAAGCCAAAGCTCCCAACCAACAGACGAATGTGAGTTGCATAATGCTTGCGATGAACATGATTATGTGTGATGTCCTAATTATGGAACTTCTTGGTTCTTGAAATAAGTGACGCATGCATGTTCTTTCATTTAACAAAGAAGATATGGGATATGTTAAATCAAACATATTCAGATGTTTGTGGTGTGACCAAAATATATGAGATCAAAACTGAAACCTTGGCCGCAAAATAAGGAGGATCTGGATAATCTATCACTAAATGCTTCATTAAAAGAGAAGCATAAAATTAAGTTAAGTGTTGAGAAATGAGGATGCTTGGGTGGATGAGAGATAGAATACGAAATAAGTATCCGTAAAAATGTTGGAATAGCTTCGGTGGCAGATAAGATTAGCAAGAATAGCCTTAGATGGTTTGGTCACATAAAATGTCAGCTTTCTAATGATCCGATTAGGAGAATAGATGTATTAGATTTGACCTATATTAAGAAAGATAGATATATACCTAAAAAGATTTGGTTAGAAAGTATCAGAAATATCTTTTTTTATTATATTTAAATGAGAATTTGACGCTTAACAGGACACAATGGAGAAAAAAATAATTCATGTAGCTGATCCCATATAGTGGGATAAAGGCTTGATGTTTTTGTTGTTGTTGTTGTTGGAAACTTTCTTGAACGTGTAGTTAGGTTGTGTATAACTGCAGTGGAACAACACATAATAGATTATAGTGGAAGTGCCAATTTACTGATTTCTCATATCATTGCTTTCTACAAAGATATCATTAAATGTTGTGGATACTGATTCATGGTCATCATGCTCTGTTCACAGCTTTGTCTCTTGCCTTACTTTCATATGTCCCCCAGATTGCCATCAGAGTTTCCTCTTATCTGGAAGTGGTGATGCAACCGTATGTACAATAAAATTGCTAGTGTGAAGTTTGTCTATTTATTATATCTTTTCTCAAGATAGGGTATGATTCGTTTCTGCAGGTTAGGCTTTGGGACCATGTTTCTGGACAACTCCTTGATACTTGTGATGTTGGAGAAAAGGTAAAATTACTGTTTTTTTTTTTTTGCAGTAAATAATATTTCAGATGATTGTTGCGGCACTGCACAAACAAATCTACATAATTATTTGGTGTCCACTTTTTAGAGATGGTTTAATTAAAATAGGGAGAGTGCCATGCACCTTTTTTTTTGGGGGGGGGGGGGTGCCATGCTGGTGCCATGGAGCCCTTCGATTTCACAGGATAAGGATGCATGCAAAGTGAATGCAGGCTGTTGGGCCAGGTTCACTTTACGGTTAAAAGTATCGCTAGAATGAAATACAAATCAGAGCAGAATGATGAACTATTTTGTTGACTAGCATCTTGATATTTCAGCCAGGGTCAAATTATAAGCCTATTGGCTGATGAGCTTTTACTTCATGTAGAACAACTGTCCTTTTACGTCTCTGCTTGTAAAGCCTTCATTAAAAAGATCGGTACCTTGTTCCTAGCCAATTTTGTGTTGTTTACCCCCTCATGATGGTTTTTTCTTCTCATGCTGCATTACGTTAGCAGAGTTAACTATCCTCATCTCTTTTAGATAGAAACATGAATCTTTTGCGGCAAATGAATGCTAAAACGGATTTTCCTTTAGCACACTAATATATTTGATTTACATGTTATTTCATCAAATTGAGCTTCAGCATTAGAAAAAGTGGCTATAATATATAGGAAGAAAGGTTTATTGAAAAAATGTTGAAAAAATAGCCTCCAGTTTGATACGAAGTCATGGAAAACATAATTTTCCTTAAATTTTTATAGACCTCTCGTTGATACAGTGTCATATAATGTGGCAGAACGGGAGAAAAAACGAGAAAGAATGGGTGCTAACTGGAGAGAATCAAGAGGGAGAGACAAGAGATGGTGAAGGAAGAGAGAAGAGCATCCAACTCCTATTTCTGAGAAACTAAATTGCATTCAATCATCATTTATCATTTTTTTTAGTTGATAAGAGTAGAGAGGGAGTTGAAGGAAAATTTGAATTATGGAGGGCAACTTTAGAGTCTAAAGATTTTTGTTTGAGTAGATCTAAAACCGAACATATGGAGTGGGGGATTGTAAGTTTGAACTATCAAGTCATTAAAAAGAGTACATGTTTTAGATATATCGAGTCTATTGTTCAAAGTAATGGTGAAATAGATGGGGATATTATTAGTAGAATTCAAATTTGATGGTTGAAGTGGAGGAATGTATTGGGTCTGTTATGCTATAGAAAAGTACCCCTCAAACTTAAGGGTAGATTTTATAATATAGTGGTGAGACCTATAATGCTTTATAGTGCAAAATGTTAGCCATTAAAAGAAAAGCATAAAATTAAGTTTTGTTTTGCAAAGATGTGGATGCTCATGTGGATGAGTCTATGTTGCACGGATACTCCTATTTACGAGGCGTGCTGTATCGGATACGTGTCGGATACGGATACGCCTCCGATACGGCACGGATACGTGTCGGATACGGCCTTGCCGTGTCCGATTAAAATATTATTTAAATTTGACTGGACACGCGTACGCGTGTCCTATTAAAAAAAAAAACACGGAGCCACGATTTACCCTTTTCTTTTCGACTTTCCACCGTTTCCGCTCAAAACACGGAGCAACATTTCAAAGAGCTAGATTTTTCGTTTCCACACACGTTCATCTTCTTCGTTATAGTTGAAGGAGCAGCTCAATGACGCGAGCATAGAAGCAAACAAGATCATCCTTTGTCGACAAAGAGGCTTGACGACGCGAGCATTAAAGTCGATAGGATCATCCTTCGTCGACGAAGCGGCTCGACAACGCGAACAGTGAAGGCGACGTGAGCAGTGTAGGTTCGTTTTCTTCATCGTTCTTCGTTTTCTTAATCATAGGCTCGGTATCGAAACTTGGTACCGCTTGGTACCGAACGTTACTGGAACTCGGTGTTGCTCGGTACTCGGTACCGAGCAGTATTGGAACTCGGTACTGCTCGGTATTGGAACTCGGTACCGCTCGATATTGGAACTCGGTATTGCTCGGTACTACTCGGTACCAAGCGGTATTGGAACTTAGTACTACTCGGTATTGGAACTCGGTACCGCTCGGTATTGGAACTCGGTATTGCTCGGTACTACTCGGTACCAAGCGGTATTGGAACTTAGTACT